TAAATAAATAAATAAATAAATAAATAAATAAATAAATAAATAAATAAATAAATAAATAAATAAATAAATAAATAAAAGCACTCCACACTAAAAGTTTGCACTCTAAAGTCAGCTGCCATTGGGGGAATTCTGCAATTGTCTTTGTTCCAAGACTAGATACACCGTATTTTTCCATGTATAAGACTATACTTTTGTCTAAAATCTTTAGACTAAAAATTGAAGGTTGTCTTATATGTGGAAGTAAGCTGAGGAAACTACAAAAATAATTGGAGGGGAAAGCAGGGATCAAAGTGATCCTGCAGGGCTTTGTTCCTGCTTTCCCCTCCACTTGCTAAGCCCCACTTAGATTTATTAATTTTGGGTTAGAAAAGTGGGGGCGTCTTATACACAGAAAAATACAGTACCTAGCCTCATCTTTATCTTGTGTTCCAAACTGGGAACGTGTGGGAAGCTCCTGCCCAAGGCCATTAGTTGTTATCTGTTACAGTGAGGGCAAACTCTCCTGGCAGAGAAGCAGCAACAGCCCGGTGGGCAGAGTGACCTCTCATTCTGCCTCTTCCCCTAGAGTTAGATCATAAGTTCAAAGACTTTCTCTGGCCAATTCTAGTGGCGATTAGGTAACTAGTATCCTATCTGAATTCTCACAACATACGAAGCAACCCTTGCTGAGTTAATAAAAGAGTTCTCAAGGCGTTGCCTTTGGGCTCTGCTGGTTCGGACATCTGCTTGTCGACTTCTTTGCAATTGCCTTCCTATTGTTCTGTGATCACCCCCATCATTAGTTTTCCTTTTGCTCCATAATAACCTACACTACAGGAACTGAACATATTAGGGGAAGGAGGAATCATGCTGTCATATCCAGTCTTCATTTCAAACAAGACAGCACTGGGATTTCTCACTTGTGTAACTCACTGAGGATATGAGCAGACTGGCAAATAATGCCTTCTTATCTCTGATCTGTTATTAAAAATTGCACTGAGGCATAAAATTCCTCTCTGCATGAAGAGGAGTGGAATAGGGAGGAACTCAATTTTTCCAGAGGGAGCATTAGGGCAAGGTCTCTTGTATGCCATCTGGCCCACCAGCTTGGTTTCAATCCCTGGAAGGGAATCAACACCCATACTAGATAGTGTCACTGTGATCAGGTACATGTATTTACATACATATGCAGCAGAACCAACATGTATCCTCCAAACTAATTTAACTCAAAAACCATGATGGAATGCAACTGTGCAAGATCTTGTTTGTGATACTTCATCATTCTTAAGCAGCACAATCCTCACATATATCAATGTCTATAAAAGGCATCCTGTAGTCTTCCCAAGGAAATAAATACTGTACAGTGGTGCCTCGCTAGACGGTTATCCCGCTTGAACCATCAGGAAAAGCCCCCAAAGTGCTCTAAAGAGGGCACA